GGGGTTCTTTTCTCGCTGCCGTCCGGGATGAACTCTAACTCCAACTCCAACTCCAACTCAACTGATTTCTGTCGACTGGGGTCCTGCTTATATTGACGCCGCAACAAACTGGGGTGGGTCTGTCGGCGTCAGGGTTTTCTCGATAATTCCAAAACTGCATTAATTCTGTCTTCTCCATTATCGCTATTGTTTTCGCCCCCTACTTCCTCGCAGTACCTTTGGTGGGGCGGCGCACATCCATCTCTCTTAGTCTCTCGTATGTCAGGTGACCGCTTTTCAACCAATCGTTCCTGATCGAGCATTTCTTTCCTTTTTTTCCGCAGGTCACGTGATCGTATTCGACCAATTGTTATTGATCAAACATTTCTTTCCTTTTCTTCCGCAGGTCACGTGATCGTATTCGACCAATTGTTATTGATCGAACATCCTCTCCCCTCTGTTTGCGGGCGTGGTTACATCGTTCTTGTTTAAAAAACAAAATCCAATTTTGCCCTTTTGCACGTACGCAAAATGACAATCTTTGGCTTTCTCTCACCTGGACTTTGTCAAACAGCCCGCTGCTAATTAGTCTTGACTTTAGAAAGGATCTTTTCCGCCTTCTTGGCGCCCTCTGTGAGCCAAAAGCAATTGTCCCTCTTTTTACCTCTTTGTTTTACCTGATAGTCGAAAATCTTAATTATCTACATTGAAATGTCTCTACTTTATTAACGTGGGTGTCCAATTCTTAACAGGTCTGTATATCGTTCCACCGGTCACTCCCCTCAACCCAAAGACACTTTTTCTCTGATTAAAATTGTTTCATTGTTCCCAAAATTTCTCTTTTTATCAAATTGATAAGGTGTCTTTCCATGCAAAAGTAGGCTAGGTGCTCTGACCGACATTCTTACCAAAATGACTTTCGAAAATCGGCCAAGACGAGGACCTAAATCTCTTTCTGACTCCTATCTCCACCCTCAATTGGGTCATGCGTCATACATTTCTCTTTTTTCTTTTCTTCCCTTCCTTCCTTTTTCTTTCTTTCCTTCTTCTTTCCTTAGGATCGTCTAGTACACTCTTAGTGAATTATTTTCAACTCAGTTATTTTCCGTTTAAAAAAAAAAATTAACAACCTGTTTAGTAACCGAGTAAGAAAAAATTAAATCATATTTCTATGAATATTTCTAATAATGCAAGGTGCCACACATCAATTACTAATTTATTTTTTAATTAATAACTATTTGTGCTCGGTTGTTGATATTAATAGCCTTCTACTGATGTGTTAAAATTTTGGAGTAATGCAATAATAAAAATTTAAATTTCATCTCTCTGATAAATGTTGTGATCTGTTGACTTGTAAGTGTGAGGCGAAGAATAATGTGTTCCTGCCTTCTCCAGGGATATTAGTACGGTGTGAACGCTGCAGACGACGAAGGATTGCCGATTCTACACTCCACACTAACAACAATGAACGTATATCCTATTAGTCAATAAGGGTGACTTAATTGGTTTACGACTTTTTAATGTAACTTTTTAGCTGTGATATTTTACTGACAATGTTTTTCTGAGGCGACCACATCAGTTTGATTTTTATCGCATTTGGCTTTTCTAACACTTTCGCCCTGGTCCCTCAACCTCCGACGTCTTACTCTCAGGGTTGAGGTGTCTACTCAGTCCTAACCGAACTTAAGGGAGTGGCCATAGGTACCCTGAGCATCCGTAGATTATTCGACCAGTCCGCTGGTTTAATCCTGCTTCCTGCCCACGTTGTGATTTGTTTGATCCAGAAAGCAGAAGTGATGTCCGTCCATTCACGGTCGACTGAAGATGTAGACACGGCTGGGGAGTCTGCGCTAAGAAATTTAGAATACAGCAAAAAAAAAAAAAAATAATAATAATAATAATATCTGTAGAAAGCCGGACAAACATCGATTCAATGGTTGAATTGGTAATGTCTTTTATATAGCAGAACAGAATAGTAGAGAAGAGAAACAGGTTACAGAAAAGAAAAGTAAAAACAAACCCTCATACACTGGATTCTAGACAGAGTGAGTGTATGTGATTATCTTGTTAAATCGTCTCAGAACGATATATGACTCTTGCGATGGAGGGATAAAGATTTCTGTGCGGGGCTTAAGTTATAGTGGCGTTCCTCCTCCCAACGCTCGCCCGGGCCAATTCTCTCTTCTCTCTTCAGGAATTTTCTCCCGTCTCGCTTTTTCAGCATAACTACGCGTTTATATAGATAAACCAGGCTGTTTATAACTGACTCTCGGTCCTACAACTTCGCACGCGATTATCACGGGATTGTGGCTGCTTCAACCAAAATCATGTGAATTCCAAAGTTCCTTCTAGCTTACTCAGCTCTATTTCAATTTTTAATCGATGAAAATTATTTCGACCATTTCCATTGTCTTTCTGATGACCCAGATTCAATAGGTACAACTTCTGCCCAAGATCAGATTTCCCCATCAGTAAACAAAATGCTCTGATTTAATTTCGCTATTCAAATCTATTCCAATTTCACTAAAAAATATATATCTATACGCGTGTGTGTGTGTGTTTCCCAGACTCTCTCTCTGTCACACTTTTGCACAAAACTAAAGAAAAGAAGCATTTTGTTTTTGGTCGCGTACGTAAAGATGTAATCATCGTCAGACATCGTAATAGGTACAAAATAAAGCTAGATTAACAAAAACATTTTTATGCGTCTTTCGCATTCTACGTTTCCCACCGAGATCTAGACGATCCATAACATAGGCTGAGAGAGACTTGACAGCTATCGATAAACGCCCAAATGACAAGATATCGAAACTGAGAATATGTATCAAGCTAGAAAATTAATTTTCCCAGATTATGCGTGATTACACCACCTTCTCTGTAAATGGATTTCGGTCGACGCTCGCTAAATGGCACGGTAATAACTCACAATCCGTCTTTTCTACTTTATCGCCCACTGGATGAGGTAGGTAAAAGTTGTTCAATCTCCTATTCAGAGGATGAAGCAGCTCTGCAAATCCGATTACTTAATTTTACCGAAACACGTGGCAGATTCACATAAATCAACGACTACTATAAGTATTTCTTTTCTTTTTTAGCTAGCTTAATGGCGCGTTCATCGGCGGTATAACTCACTCGTACTATATTTTATATTATCAGCCACTGGATGCGGTAGGTAAAAGAAGTTGTTCAATCTCCTATTCAGAGGATGAAGTAGTTCTGTAAATCCGATTACTTAATTTCAGCGAAACACGTGGCAGACTCACATAACACCGCGAATATTATAAGTATTTTCTTCTCTTTTTTTTTTTTTTTTTTACTGTGGACACGTAATTATAATTTGTCTTTTCTTTTTTTATAAAGTATAAAGCGTTCAGAAATGTCTTGTATCTTCTTGTGTATGACTTGCTCGTTCAGGATTTAGGCAATCATGACTCTCCACTATCTTTCCCTATCTTTTGCTGCCCCCCCCCCAATATTTGACGTTTCAATGTTTCTCACTCTTTTGACATGCATTTACAGAAGCTCGTTAGGTAAGCTTCGTGTTCCTTCTCACTGCCACGCTTGCTTTCAATATGTTTCATGAGTATAGCATTTTTCAAGACGTCTTTCCTCATTATGGAGCTTAGGAATTTCATCTTTTCTTCCTGATTCTAAGAAGAAGTGCTCTCTTTCTTTCCAAATACCAGCTACAGCCAAAAAAGATAAAACCGTTCCGTACTTATCAATGTATAATAGTAAGAGAAAACCTACAATATTTACATTATTCGGACTATTGTCCTCATTTTTGTCGCCATATTTATTAGAACGTTTCGGCCGTTGTTCGCTCCGGCCTTCTTCAGGTGGTTGAAATGTCGAGCTTAACCCTTTATTTCGCTCACTGGGGTAGACTGTTCTAGTTCCACGTGCCATGTTTAATGGATGTCAGTTATCAGTTATCTCCTATCAATTTCCCTCTGAAAGTTCTCCGCTGCCTTAACCGGGTATTGAACTCACACTCATTTAAGTTCTGTCACTGGATCTAACCAACGCCTTTATCCACTGTGCTATGTGTCCTTGAGGATAATAATGTACATAATACCTCATCTCAGAAATGTAGAGAGATATTGAAGAGAAAACCTGTCTAAAAGATTCGGGTAAAAGTCCTTCTGGTTGTAAAGTCGGTCTGATGATAGCACGCTTGAAAGAAATGTGAAATGTTGGATTAGGCTGACAGCAGCAGGCAGTTTCGGGAAACAGTGACTGTTTAATTAGTTCGAGTGTGGTGAGGTGTTTAAAGTTTAGGGGAAAGCGGAACACCTACAATAGATCTATTTTCGATGAGTCTGGAGAAAACAAACGATGCTTTTCATTTTGCGGCAGAACTAGCGTGCAAATTAGGATGGATTCCAAAAATAGCTGAATGAGTGTGAAAAGAATTAATTTCTTTTTTTTTTTAAAAAGAAAAAAAAGACATGAATGTGATTGAGATGAAAAGAAAAATATACAGGGAAAAGAATAAATTGCGACAATTAAGTTTTAAAAAAAAGAAAAGAATATCACGTGATCGTGTAAAACAGTTGACATAATTAGAAAGCATACGGAAGATATTGTAGCCACAAAATTCTTACAAAAAAATTTTTTTTAAAGCGATAAAATAAAGTAAACAAGTTAAATGCTAAAAAAACAAATCGTAAAAACTATAAAAGTCCGTCAAACAATTAAAGAGAATTAATTCTTCGTCGAAGTTTTCCATTTATTTATTCATGAAGAAATTTTGAAGGAAAAAGAAGGTCGGAATGGAAGAAAAAAATAAATGAAAGCATTAAAAGAAAATATAATAAAAAAAAAAACAGACTGTCTCTGAATCGGGAATATATAAATGAATCAAGTGAAACGTCGCTGAGTAAAGACGCGGTAAATTTTTTAAAAGGTGGAGACGAAAACGAAAGTGAAAGTAGCACGTAGGTGTAAGTCTAGTGAATGAAGTAAATGAACAAAACTCAATGGAAAAACGTTGGAGAATATAATGATGACATGGAACATTAGTTCCATAGAAACATTAGCCAAGGGAATTCGCTCATGAGACAAAGGAGAGAGAGAGAGAGAGAGAAGGAGAGGGAGAGAGAGAGGGAGAGAGAGGGAGAGAGAGGGAGAGAGAGAGGGAGAGTGTGTGTGTGTGTGAGAGAGAGAGATTGAAAGAGTGAGAGAATTTGAAAGTAGTGTTGGAAATGCAATGAAAAATAAGAAATAGCGAAGAAGAAAAAGTATGATAATCTGAAAGAAAAGAGATCGCCTGGTTAATAAAGAAAACACTCTACTTCCGGAATTTCGTGTTTCACGCCGGACAGAACCGCAAAGATTTTAAAAGCTGAATTTCTGTGTATTGTTGATTTTATCACTCTAAACCAGCGTTTCTCCTGTAAAACTCTTGAAATAATTTTCATACCTCAGGGAACACTTGCATAGACATTATTATATACCATTATTAATATCCCTCTTATGTTTGTATCGGAGGGGCACCTTTGCGTGGTTTAATTGTTAGCAAGTTTGTCTGGCTAAAACAGTTACAACTCAATAGTGAGTTCGATCCTCACTGGGTGCCCCATAATTTCGGCCTTGTGCCACATCTAAGCTATGCTTAGAAAATCAATATATTTGTAGCGGAGTTCACGTGGTAAACATAAAATATGGGCAATCATGTATTCAATGAAACACGAAACCGCCACCTACAGGTCCTGTCCACTAACCATTGAGCCACTGACGCCATATAGACACCCCTAAATATACTCCCTATGATTATAATTTTAAATAATACTAGACTGCTAGTAACTAATTGGATCACTGACAGTTCAGGTTAACATTCAATTAAAATGAAAGTTAAATTAATTATGATTCATTTAAATATTTCAATCCGTTCCCGTCACCATTGGTCTCGTTTACAGCATTAAACAAGAATAGAACTTCCGGGATAAACTTGAACTTTAAATCAGATTAACTTAAAAATATTTCTTTAAAATGGCAGAAAATATTTCTTTAAAATGGCAGAAATTTTGTTTGTTTAAAGAAAGTTGAAATATAATTCCTCTACAAAAAACTCTACGAAACAGCAAATCGGGATCTCTTTGTGTCTGTCTTTAACTTAAAAATATTTTAATTAAAATAGTTGTCTATTTGATGAAAGTTAGAATAAAATATTTTCTGTATAAACTTGTATTTTTAAAACTTATTCACTTAACCTAGATTAACTTAAATCATTATGCACCGGACGGACGCGCCAAATTTGCACGCAGACAATCGCATATTATATAGATAAGCTTCAAACCATTATTATAATAAACATTTTTTCCCAACAATATGACTTACGTGTATAGTAAAATTACGACTATGAATTTAAACAAAAATTACTTAAAAGTGAGAGTGAAAAAAAAAACAGACAAAAATACAGAAAACACTGGTATTTTCAATTATTTTTGGATCATTTCCCATTGTTTAGACACGTGTATTAAAACCGTAAATAAATATGTATTAGTATGTAGGTTTGTAAAGATTCTTGTATGTCTAAGTGGGCATCAGGTGGTAATGTGTATTCGTAAGAATCATCTATTCGCATCATGGTATCTATGCGAATGACGCAAATATTTACTCCTGTCTTTGTAGTCAATCTGATCTGTTCGATGAAGTCAAATTGACAGCTGACTAAATAATGACGTAGAATTTGTTGTTAAATGGAGCAAGGAATGGCTTCTTAATTTTAACGCTTCCAATTTGAGCACAATTTCTCATTATTTTATAGTTGAAATGGTTAGATGCAACCGTAATTTCTATGCAAACTGTTTCTGCTATCGTATGGAACTTTTTTCTGCCTTCTTGCTTCCCAGTCAACTTTGATCTTCAAAAATGTTAAGGCGGTGTTAATTGTTATCTTCTGTCTTCCTAATTCTTGTTCTTTTATTGTCTTCTTTCAATAACAGCACATTTTTATCATATTCTCTCACACTCTGTAACCCCTTGCGTGTTAGTGGCTTTATTGCCTAGCTGGGGATGAAATGATTAAAAAACAATCACCTTTTGAATCAGACAGTCATGGAACGTGAGGGCATACTGAAATGTAGTGATAAGGGGTTATTGGGCATGCAAAACCATTGCACTAGGTCTAGACGAGCCATTGTGCCGCCCTAAACTAGATTTAGTAAAGATGACGGCAGTTTAATTTCCTCCTCACACACTGTTCTCGTCATCTGAGTTTGACTGGACATGTACGAAATACTTGCGATCCTATGTGGCAATGAGTGCTAGACAAACTCCTGACAGATGAAGAGAAATATGGTTGTGGACAATGATGCCTAGAATACTAAAAAAAGTTCATTATTTACATTATCCGGACTATTGTCCTCATCTTTGTCGCCATACATATTACAACGTTTCGGCCGTTGTACGCTCCGGTCTTCTTCAGGTAGTTGGAATGTCGAACTGATCCGTTTTATTTCGCTCACTGGAGTAGACTGTTCTAGTTCCACGTGCAATGTTTCGTAAACTTAAGGAATCAGCACATATGCTAGACCACAAAATCTCCTGTGCCGACCAAGCATAGAAATGAATACAATATGGGAACCAGTAATAAGGAGTGCCAGAGAAAAGCGATAATAAAAAATTGTAATATGAGCTCTGGTAATAACATGTAATGGTAACAGTAAAAAATTGCAACATGAGCACTGATAAAAAACGTTGCTGAAGACATTAGGTTTATAATACCTAGAAATTCATACACAGATGTCCTCAAGGACACAGTGACTAAAGGCGTTAGTTAGATCCAGTGACAGGACCCAAAGAGTGTGAGTTCAATACCTGGTTAAGGCATTGGAGAATTTGGAGAGGGGAATTAACAGGAGATAACTGATAATTGACATTCATTAAACATGGCACGTGGAACTAGAACTGTCTACCCCAGTGAGCGAAATAAAGGGTTCAGTTCGACATTCCAATCACCTGAAGAAGACCGGAGCGTACAACGGCCGAAACGTTGTACTAAATATGGCGACAAAGATGAGGACAATAGTCTGAATAATGTAGATAATACCTCATCTCAGAAATATAGACAGATACTAAAAAAGTTGTAGAGAAAATGGAACCAATAAGGATCCTGAAAAGACAGGTGACATTTCTAGGGCACATAATGAAGAAAGAGGGTTTGGAAAATTTAATACTCACAGGTCATAATGAAGGCAATGGGAATACAAAGAAACAACGCCTAACCTACTTAACGGAAAATTAAATGGATGACGGAACAGCGTTTGGAAGCGATTGCAAAAAGACAAAATCTATTAAGAGCTACAAAGGACCGGGACATGTGGAGAGTATTGATCGGCAACGCCCTTAAAAGACACGGAACACAGAAAAAGACTACATTAAAATCGCTCTCTCAGGCGGCATTTAAGGTACCTCCTGCGTAGGGCTCTTGATTCGGCCTTCATCACAATAGATGATGAGCAGTAGATGATAAACTAAAGAAGTCAATATTTAAGCTTACCTTTTAAAAGTTCAACGACATTTTTTCTGCCGCCATTTAATGTAAAGGCAATATGATGTACGTAGGTCCTTACTTTCCGTACAATTATTTCTATTTCATGGCTGACTTTCGCTGGATTGCACAAATAATTTTGATTATTCCCAAATATAATTTCAAGTTTTAAAAATTGTTATCGCACAAAAAATTGATCGCAAAAATTTCATCGCAAAAAATAACGTAAAAATTCTCTGAAAACATTTCCAGTAACGAAAACTTGGAATCCAACATTTCAAGATTACGGGTCCGGATCCAGTCCAGAAGGATTTCAATTTGCTCGCAGAGTTTGTCTGATTCGAAATTGATATGATACGCTGGGTTACGGCTTCTAGGAGTAAAGTTGAAAACACAGACGATTTTATTTTGAACCACTGTAATCTGAGAACAGTATTTTTTTATTTGAACATGAGCTATTGAAAGTTAGAGAGTTGTGTCCCTTTGATTGCTTTATCAGTAGAGGCCAAAATGGTGGAATCTGAAGATAATCGCAGTAATGAAATTTGGGAATCCAAAATTTCAGGATTGCGTGTCCGGATCCAACCTGCAATGTTTTTAATTTGTTCACAGAATCTGCCTGATTCCAAAATGGTATGATTTGTTGGTTTACGGCCTCTAGGAGTAAAGTTGAAAAAGTGTGACACTGTGACACACTGACATTTGCGTTTATTCTATAGAAGACAAGGAAATGTGCTGGAACCTGAAAATGTATAATTTTATTTGATTTAAAGAAATAAATTATTCCTCCGATTTTTTTTAGTTTTTCTTTTAAAATGTTATAAAGACTGACTAAAGAAAGTTAATTATAATAATGTTTGCCATATTTCTTTTTTTATTTTATTTGGAGTCCTTTCCTCTTCGTTCTTCATTTCACACAACGGATAATATTTTTTTACTAATTATTTAAAAATTAGAGCTCGGTTTATCGTTTAAAATTTCTGAAATTCTAACATTTTGAAATAGGCCTACAGTTCTGACTTTTAATTACACCGTGAGTAGGCCCGCAGTATAGAACTGTATGTAAACCAAATTTAACACAAGAATTGTATATAGAACTATATAAGAAACTCATAGCTGTGAGCGTATTTTACAAGCATTTTAAGCACTGCACCCTGAAGTATACTCAACCATCTGTGTTATACTATATTTAATTTTATTTGATTGTTCTTGCTCAGGACACAGCAGTCTTTGCTTTTTGAGTGAGATAATTTGAAACAATATCTTGTGGAGGGCGACAGCTGGCCTGAACTTTCGTTAAATTAAAGATCGGGGCCGTGTTTTTACTTTCTCTCAAATAACATGTTCTTATCAATGCTGATCTCAACAGTATAGAATAAAAAAAAAAAATTCTCACAAACACATATACATATATCCACCCACACGCAATCAGGAAAAGAAAGGCAAACACACACTAACAAATGTCAGTTGTCGAATGAAAGAAAGATGAACTTAGGACAAATAAACTTGCAGCGGTTTTTGATTGGGTTGCGTGTAGGAAACTCAGGATTTGAAAAACGGATTT